GAAAGTATAAAATACTATTGTAATTATGCTGGTATAACTGAGGCTTCTAAAGAGGGTTATAGGTGACAGTTTCTGTGGGATCTGAAATATATATCCCAGTGACCTGAAAAGAGAAAAATTGTTGACAGAAAGGTAGACATGCTGATTTCCAGGTCGTTAGAGATGGCTAGAATTTAATAGCTTACCACAACCCACAATATTCAAAACAATGTACTTTGCATTTTATCTTCATTGTCATTCCAAGATTTGCACCTCTAAAGGCAAAACTGGCTGTAAGACTGGGAAAACAAAGGGAAAGCTTTTAAAACCATGAGCAAAAAAAAAAAATGTTTAGAGAAACTTGTTCTGCTTTCCAAGAACCATTTTTAGAATAAGGTACTCTGTGTTTCTCTCTTTTTTTTTTTTGGTGAGAGGCAAGAATTTCTTTAAGGTAATATCTTTTATTGGACCATTTGTATAGTTAGAATTCTAAGTTGGGATAAATTAGATAAGCTTTGAAATGCAAGACATTCTTCTTCAGATCCCAACTGTGCAGCCAATCCAGTAAAAGTTATCATGCTAAGAAATCCTTGTCTTTCTTATAATTCCTGGATAATTACATCTACACCATTCTTCAAAAATATTTTTTTCCTTCAATCTCTTAAATCTTACTCTATTCTTAATTCATAGCATCTGACAAAGTAGGCTTTCACCTACAAAAGTTTGTCTCTTTGAATAGGGTGGATCTGATTTAAATCACTGGTCAGGAAGCCTTGATTTAATCATTATTGTTCTCTAGAAAATGTGCATTCTTGTTTGATATAACTTTTATTAAAATATTCCCCAGTGGGGTCTCTTTTACAGCCTGGGAAGCCTGCTGCCATAATAGGTTTTCCCTTCTACCATACTGTTCCCTTACTAGATCTCAAATGAGTGGAGAGACTATACTCAGAAACTTACCCCTCAAGGCCTCTGGAATATTCTGCTCAAAATGTTTCTGTTTTGTTTCTAGTGCCCCTCCCTCCTTGCATTTATCTCCAGACTCCTCCTCCTTGCCCAGATCTACTCCATCCCCAACTATCCTCTATTCATTTAACTTTTGAAACTGCACTTTTAGAGAAAAGTAAGGGCTTGACTCTTGTCTCTTTACAAGTTTGTGTACACATAGGGATGATGGGTATGTAATCGGATCTGTTATCTCTCATCTCCATATACTGCTATCAACAAGGATATTTTTCTCTGGAGACACAAAATCTACAGTCTGAGAACTGAAACTAAGCATCACAGAGATGCTTAATGGGATCCTTGAGACTGAGCACTGAGTCCCCCTGTGTAGAGTGATTTTCTTTACTCTTTACCAATCTATAAAGGAGCCTCTGGGAACCCCATAAGATTGGTCCAGTGATATAGTCCGTGGCTGGGTGTGACATTTTTATAAAACTTTTCTTAAAAAAAGTTACATGAATATATGGTTTCAAATAATATATAATTAGAAGTTATAATCCCTATTCCATGGTGATAGCTTTGAGCTCTAACATACCTTAAATTAAAACTATCTTTGTATAGGTTTATTGTTTTTAAAAAGCATCTTAATAAAAAAATAAATACAATACAATGAAATAAAAAAATCTGATTTAAATAAAAATCCATTTTTTAAAACCATTGGTTTTTATCCACCCTGTCTTTGAATCAGTTAGCTCTAAGGTGGCACTGTGTCCTGCCCTGCTTTCTGCCTGACTTCTGATTTAAGGAAGCTAACTACCTCTCTCCTATTCTTAGGATAATTTACAGTGCTCCATCACACTGACAGGAAAACTGTCAACTGTCGTCAGCCACTAACAAATAGTGGACTGAACTTAAATGTATGCTTTTTGTTCCTAAGCCTGGGATGCTCTTTGAAGAGTTGAATTTGAGCAGGAAAGTTGACAGCCCTTATGTTGTGAAAAAGATTTAATTCTTCCTGAAGTATATACCATCTCCTAAGAATATACTGGCTTGCTAGTATTTTTCATGAGCTGCCTTCTGAAAGTTAAAGCAACTGTTAAATAATAGTTCTTTTTTCTTATAAACCTTTATACGGCGTCCTAAAGCAGACACGTCATGCTCGTTCTGTGAAAAGGTCCAAACAACTCCATGTTGAGATGAATGAGAGAAGTTCTCACCCCTCAGAACTATTGTTTCAGACCACCTACACACTGATGTTTCACATTCAAGAGATTATCCCTTCTACTGTAGGAGGTGGAAATGTAATTATCCTTAAAATAAATGAACATTTGTATTTGGCAGAATCTGAGCTTTCGACTGACAACATCAAAGAGGCTAGGAATCTGACACCCCTACACCAGACTAATGAAGTATATGGAAAGAGAGCAAAGTCGATGCTTATATGTACTAACCTGTAATTCTTTGGGGGGTAGAAGAGGGATGTAATTTACTTACATTTTAAATCAACAGAGGAAAGAACCTGTAATGAATCCTTTTGTGCTGTGTTTCTTGACCTTCAGCCTCCTAATCTCACTCACTTTCTAGCTCTATATTGACTGTGCACTGGAATCTTTATTGCAAATGAACATAGAATGTATCCAGCATCACCTGGATACAATTCTGACAATACTGACTCACTTTGTTTAACAGCATCAATTGCCTTGGGATGACTTTTGCTCACAGTTACATCAGTGGAAATCCAGAGACATTCCAGTAACTCTGAAGGACTCAGTCTCAGTTTAGAATAAGTAAAAGCTGATTTTGATTTTTTGATCACAAAAGGTTTTTCTTTTGTGTAATTTCTGTCTTACTTAATATCCTGAACCACACCAGTAGGACCCAAGGGAAGCCACGGCAGGACCTTGCAACAGCAAGGCCTGCCCAGCCCTCCCTCCCCCCAAGCCGGAAGCCTCTGCCTAACAGAGGTTTCTGGCCTGGGATTATGGGGCTGTTCCCATCTCCCTGCACTGGAGTGGGAAATTCAGGTAAGAAAGGGGAGGGCATGGAGGCAGAGGGGGACCACAGGCTATTGCCTCAGTTCTGGGGACTGGGCTGGCTCCTGCTAGGTCCTGCCATCATGGTCATGAAGCCAGGAACCATGTGGTCCAGCAGCCACTGGTGGGCAGGCAGGAAAGTGGCAGTAGGGGTGGGGGGGAGTGGAAACAATCGGATGTACAGGAGCACAGGACCAGTGCCAGCAGGGCCCAGAGTGGGGTGGCAGGAGTCTATGGAGCCTGGCTGGACTATGCCAGCAGGGAGAGAGGGGACCTGGCCCGGCTCTATAGAGTCTCTGCTGGCCAGGACCCCGTGCTCCTGCCGTCCGGCTCTGGGCCCCTCCAGTGCCAGCCCCGGGACACCGGCATGGGCCTCATGCTCCTGTCCAGCTCTTGCTGCCATGTGCCCACTCACTCCGACTCCCCCGCTCCTCCCCCAGCCCCGCAGTACAGGCGGGGATCAGTGCACACAGCTCCAACCCCACATGCCCCACACTCCCCCATCTGGGCTGAGCAGTGACAGCATGGGACAAACTGCTGCTCCGCGTGGAGGGAAAGTGGCCTCTCCCTCTCCCGGCACTTCCTGATGCAGCCACTCAGAGCCCGTGTGGAGCTGTCCTGCGTCTCCACCACATCACTGCCACCTCTGAGCTACCCTGTGGAGCAGCGGTGGCAGTGCAGAGCAGACACAGAGCAGCCCTGTGTGGGCTCTGAGCGGCTGCACCAGGAAGGGGAAGGGTCACTTTTCTCCCATGCTGAGTAGTAGTTTTTCTCACACTGCCTCTGCTGAGCCTGGGCCCCACACCGGCTCTGGGCTCACCTGTCGGGGCTGACCAGCAGCAGCTGGACAGAAACTGCTGCTCGGCATGGGTGAAAGCAGCTCCTCCCCCTTGCTGCCACCAGACGGTTTTTGCTGCAGCTGCCCCAAGCCTGTGCTGTGCTAGGCTGCAGTGAAGCTCCTTCACTGCCACCTCCGGGCTGCCCAGCACAGCAGAAGGGATGGCGGGACCAGTCCACACCTTGGATGCAGCAGTGGCATGGGGTGCTGGTGGCAGGGATGGCAGGGCAAGCTTCTCCCCCTGCACGTGGCAGGCAGCAGTGGCATGGGATGGTGGGTAGCAGCACTCCCAGTAGGGAGAGGGAGGAAGAGGGGAGGAAAGCAGCTGCATGCAAACTCCCTTCCCCCCCGTTCATGGGATCCTGCAGCAGTGCAGGGTGGAGCAGCAGGGGGTGGGGCACATGGGGTTGGACGCGAGGGTTGGGTGGAATGGGGGGGGAGGGGGTGCGCAAAGGGCTGGAGGCAGATCATTGGCACCACAGGGCACTGGGTGGCGGCACTCTATCCCTGCCCACCTCCCCATCATACATGACGAGCAATTTGCTAATATATTATTATGGGTGTTTGATTTTTAGTATATAAATTTGGGGTTTTTTTACTGTTCTAAGATGGCAAACCGTCTTCCCCAAAGGAGTACTTCCAGGGGCAAGGGGAGGGACTCCCAGTGGCAAAGGTCAGAGTTTAGGGGTGGGACTGCTACTCCCAAGGTGGCAACCAGGGGGCAGGGCACCTGTCAAGGGGCGGGGCTACCCATGTGGCCCTCAACAGCTTGCCAAAACTTGGTAAGTGGCCCTCCGCCCAAAATAATTGCCTGCCCCTGACCTACTGCATGTATTTGTATTTGAAGCAAAAAATGCTCACATTTGCATTTTTCAAGGCTATGTCAATATCTCCTATGTGAGTCTCAGGAGCCCTGGAAAGTGGTGTTCATGCCAAGCCATGACACTTGCTTCAGTTATACAATCATATTTGCGGTAGTAGTATGCTGGATCAAACTACATAACTTATTCCAGATGAAACCAGAATCTTCTCCTTGATTTATCTGGCTTACTGCTCAGCAAAACTAGAGTAATTACCCTACAAACCAAGAGAAAGATTCTGTTTTTGTTGCTGATACCCCGTTACCACCATGCTGCAGCCTTTTCAAGTGACTGACTTGTTGTGATGTTACTGTTTTTTCTAACTGTATCTTTCTTCCATCCTAGGTGTGGAAGATGTTGTAGCGATAATGATTCCTGAGCCCAAAGGAAAAGAGATAGTGAGTCTGCTGGAGAGGAATATTACTGTGATGATGTACATAACAATTGGAACACGCAACTTGCAAAAATACGTCAGTCGTACCTCAGTGGTATTTGTCTCCATATCCTTCATTGTGTTGATGATAATCTCCCTGGCATGGCTGGTCTTCTATTATATCCAGAGATTCCGGTATGCGAATGCCAGAGATAGAAACCAGGTGAGTAGAATGTGAGTGGGCTTTGGCTTTTGTCCTGCACTATTTGCAGGAGTCGTTTATCCTTGCAAAAGAATCACAGCATGTTTAAAATGTAAATAACGTTAAAATAACATTAAGTCTGTCCACAGAAGCCTTAACATGTGATGACAAAGAAAGAAGGGTTGTTGTGATAGAGGAGCCAGCATTTGAGTGAAACCCAGAGACCTCTCAGGAACGAGAATAGGGCTCAAGAAGCAAATGAATTAAGAATTGTTCCTTTCCTGGAGAGTATACAATGGGAAATACACAGCATAAAGCAACATGTGTTATTTCTTTCACACAGGATGTTTAAATATTGAAATAATATGTCTGCTGACAGTCCACATACACAATGCACAAGAAATAATCGGAAAAGATAATGCTGTGTCCAACAGAAGATATTCCCATAGTAAATTTGAGAGCTGTAGAAGTGCACATGCATCTATTAGTGAATCTAAGCTTGAAGAACAGGTGACTAGAGAATAGTTAGGAGTGTGAGTTTGCATGTAAAAAAAAAAAAAAAAGGGGGGGGTATGCTTTATAACTAACGAATTAATTAAGGTGGAAAAAGTGTTTCCATTTTAAAATATTTAGTTCACAATCACTAAAATTTGCCTGTACAAGTCTTTGTAGAAAGACATCTACATTGATCATGCAATGTAAATACTGTAATGCTAGTAATTAATATTCAATAATTGCTTTTCATTCTGATGGCCCCCACAAAATATGCCATGTCTGCAGAATTGCAGGTCAATTTATTTCATAATTTTTATTATATACCATATTTATACAACACAGGTATTCATGTTAAAGTGAACCTTGTTCATTTTTTACTCATGTCCATATAATTTGGATTACTGTTGCTGCACAGCATACCACATTCATACTTCAAAATTACCTATGTTGTCCTCTTATAGGATAGGAGGAAAGAAAATCCCTAGACTCTGTGGGATACCAGGTAGGGATAAAGGCTTGCAGGGTATAGCCCTTAGCAGTTTTGGATTGTGAGTTTGGAGAGGGTCCTCACTTGTTTGTGAAGAATCCTGCTCATTTTTCACAATCTGCAGGTGATAAATAATAATTAATTGCACTGTATCCCACCTGTTGTTTGAAATCTCATTCTGCCAACTACTTCCAAAAGCACTCTTTACAAGAGAAAACGTGTACCATATTTCACCGTTGAGTTTTGGCACATATAATACAATTCTATTTGTGGGCTTTACTTTCCTTACTGTCTATTTATGAACTTTACAGAGAAGGGAAACGATGAGGCATAATGTTTGTTTCATCATGATGGATATTAGAGCACTCTACAGTGTACAAATAGCATATAGGAACCACTTGACCACCAGTGAAATTCTACCACTCTGGGACGGAAAACAGCTGTCATTTATTTAAAGACCTGAAGGATAAATTCTTCACTTAAAAATATGTCATGGAATTTTAGATAGCAAGACTATCATCATCTGAATTGGAATTTAAATAGCACACAAGTGACAACTGATTCAATCTGACCATCACAAGTATTTTTTTCAGAAGTTCTGGGTGCAAAAGTGCACCTGTGCCTAATTTATGCATGTAGATACTATAGGTGTGGCCGGTCAAATAATTGCATAACAAATAAAGAGTTCAGTCCAAAAGTGGTCATTTCTGTGTGAAGGGGTTACAACAATCAGAGGAACTGTGCATGCAAATTAGCAATGTAAATATACATGCATTAGCTTCTAAAGAACAGCTGTGCAATGTCCTTGGCACCCAGTGACATAGATCCATTAGTGCTGAGCTACAGAACTTTAAAGCAGATTTTATTTTTCTGACCAAGCACAAATTGAATTATGTACTGAGCTACTAAAACTATGTCACCATTCTTAATACTAACCCTATTCTTGGGAACCAAGCATTTGAGGCATTACAAAGACCTCTTGTTACAGCAGTAAATTATTTATAACTAAGACTTTTTTAATTAAGCACATTTTAACAACGCCACTCTAACAATGCCATTGAAATCACAATACTTTCTTTTGTGCTCTGGTATTGTCAAGGAACATTTTCAGTTCATCCTTTGCCTATTATGCTGGACAAGGTACTTTATCCTTTCACTGGTCCTTATTTACTGCTATCATTTTTCATCTGAGGAGAAAAGCTAAGACCAGCTCTTTGTGGTGGTGATTGTTACAGGGTATAAACCAGGGGTGTCAAATATACTGCCTGTGGGCCAGGTCTGGCCTATAGAACCTCTCTGTCTGGCCCATTGCTACCCGTGGGCACCAGAAGTTGGGCCTGTGGCCTGCCACAAAATCTGGGGCTCTTCAGCCACAGTCATTGGTGGTATGCTTGGTTCTCCATCTCTGCCCCTGGAATTGCTCCCCTGAACTCCACACTGCTGCTGGACCCTGCTGCTGCAGTGGTCATTGCAACAGGCCTCATGCCCTGGACTGGATCCATCCTGCAAGGAGCCATGCAGTACAATCTGGATCCCAAGTGAAGTTGACATTCCTGGTATAGCCACTTTAAGAGTCCAGAAGGTGCAACTACCCTTGCTTGCTGATGAGGTACAGGTAGAAAGGATCAGGCCACTGGGCAGATCCCTAGCTGGGAGCATTAAAAAGGGCTAGATGAAAGAGAGCAAGGGACAGAAAGAGCTTGTGGAAGCTGGAAAGCCTTAAGAGCCTGAAGGAAGAAAGGCCATGGCTTTTGTTTGTTCGACTTCCTTTGCTGAGGAGGGTTTCAAACAATGGACATGCTTGGAGCTTGGAAAGAAGTATAGCTATGGCTCATGAGACCAGCTGGCAGGGGACACTGCTAGTTCACAGTGATGATTAAAGATCCCATGCCTTATTTGTTGGTCCTTACCTTAGTGATGTGGCTTGCTTCCAAGTCAAATATATACTGTCTGCCTAACTAAATTATTCCTACAATTTTAATAGACTCAAGTGTTTTTCATGTTCTGTTGTGAACTCTTGTATTATTATTACTAAGTTATCTGCTGTATTCCTTCTCAAGCAGATGCCCTTTCCATGGCAGCCATTAAGCCTTCCACATGCTGTGTAGAGGTCAAACTCACCCTTTTCCTCGGTTTCAGTTTTCTTAGCACAGAAATTAACAGTAAGGTACCAGAGCTCAGCTCAGCTCAAAACTATTCTTCCAGCTAAGCTTCTTCTAGGCTTCCTCAGAACTATTCATACCCCAACTTTTCTTATTCCGGTGGGAGTGAACCAATCCTATCTTCCTTATGGTCATGTGGGGTAATAAATCCATGGAACCCAATCAACCCTCTAACAACATAATCAGCAGCTAACAAAGTTGGCTGTTCTGGGCAAAATCTGCCAGACTGTTAAGATAATGAAACACATTAGTATTAAGTAAGAAAAAAAGAGTGCTATGTTGCTGCTTAAAATGGCAGAAAGACTGATTTTGTCTCAGCAATCATTCCAGGGGCTGACTCAGTGCAGTTTGGGTTCTGCCAGGGCAGAAGGAACACCTGCTGTCTCAAGATCCCAAAATCCTTCCATCTCAGATGAGGTCTGTAGTTGCTGTTTAATCCTACATTGCATGGAATATTTTTAATTTCCAGATCCATGCCTCCATGAGGTATAACATCAAGAGGGCAGGGCAGTGTACTATGTTGAGGCCTAGCCAAAATACTGAACAACATATCTGTTGTTCTGTTGTACTTTTTGCCTGTGTCCCCCCCTCCTTTCTCCAATTTCTTCTGTACCCCCAGTTTGAGGATTTGAACCAGGAATAAGCAAGACTGCAAACCTCAAGCATTCAAATTTAGACAAGCCCTGGGAAGTCATGGGAGCTGAATTATAAATGGTAATATTGAAGGAAAAAAGTAATAAAAGTTGGGGGCTTATTTGCCCTGTGGTTTTAGAATATTTGAACAGAACATGCTCAAAGTCTTTTCAGTCAAGAGGGCTAATTTTAATTTTTGTCAATTCATATTCTCTAAAACACCAAATATGACATTTGCAATTAAAATCATGAGAGTTGGCAGTACCAAATAAAATCAAGTAAAACAGAGAGGAGTAGAGGCTGTGCTGGCAACAAGCAAAAACGTGCATGTGTACCAAGCAAGGTTTGAGTCTGCTCAGGTAGAACAGGCTGCAGATGTTCAAAGGTATGGAAAACTCTCAGGGAAGCAGAGGAGAGACAGGACAAGAAAAAGAAAAATTCTTACATCACTGGCATTTGTTCAGAAGAAACTGTAATGATACATGTATGCTTCATTCTTTCTCTGTTTTACATCCCTCTTGTGACTTTTACTGTAAGTAGTTGTCTAAAGAGCTCATATCAGACTTTCCCTTTCTGTCAGGGTTATCTCTGTCTTCTCTGCTGTTCTATTTTTCTTATCTTTGACATTTTTGTTTGGTGCAAGGATAGATTAACAGCACTCCTGTGCTGAACTCCTGTATATTCTTCTGTGTACAATAGAGAAACAGTTTGTATTTCTTTGCTTGAGTAGAGTTTAAATCTGTCCTTTTGTCATGGTACTCAAAGGGTTTTGCCATTATAATCTGTTTGTGTGCCTTTGTATAAAGATGCTACGCTTATTTGCTGGAGAGGCTTGACACATGCTCCATCAGCCAAGTTGGAAAAGCACGCTCCGAGTCCCCACCCTGGAGTGCACTAAATCTGGTATTGCAGACTGACTGCCTAGCTCTGGCAGGATCTGTGATAGTTTAGTCAACTGTGGTTTCATTAAATAGGGTTTTGATATTAGAGACCTTTAAAATCCACTGCATTTAAGTCAGGGGCTTGAGAGGAGGGGTTAACATTTTGCCAAATTTTCATTTTTTCAGCCAGTGCATCTCTATGCTAGAAGTTCAGTGCCAGGGTGTTGATACCAGTACATGCCAAGACTGGTTGTCTGTATCTACTGATCAGTTGTCTTATACTTATTTGCTTGCCTGGTTTCTTGTAAAGGAAAAGTTTGAAAGTTTTGAAATCTGGTGAGCTACATGTGCTTTTACAGGATG